CAATTGGGGGAGTGGGCGGGGCCAATCGGGGGAGTGGGCGCGGCCAAATGGGGAATGGGCGGGGCCAAAGTAATAACGGGGGGATTTGGGGTAAAGGGGGCAAAAAACGGGGGATTTGGGGGAAAAATTGGGGTTAAAGGGGAAAAATTGGGTTTTTTTGGGGGAAAAAAGGGGAAAGGGGAGGAAAAATGAGGAGTTTGGGGCGAAAAAATGGGGAAAAAAGGGAAAAAATGGGGTTTTGGGTGGGAAAACCGGGGAGTTTGGGGGAAAAACGGGTTTTTTTTGGGGGAAAAAGGGGGCTAAAGGGGAAAAATGGGGAAATTTGGGGTAAAATGGGGAATTTGAGGGGGAAAACCGGGAAGTTCGGGGGAAAAATGGGGGTTAAAGGGGAAAAATTGGGGTTTTGTGGGGAAAACGGGGGAGTTTGAAGGGGAAAGCGGGAAATTTGGGGAAAAATGGGGAGTTTGGGGGGAACAAAAGGGGGGAAAATGGGGGGAAAAACGGGGGTTTGAGGAAAAAATGAGGGGTTTGGGTGGAAAAATGGGGGTAAAGGGGGAAAAATTGGGGTTTGGGGGGAAAACCGGGGAGTTTGGGGAGGAAAAATGGGGAATTTTTGGGGAAAAAAATGGGAGTTTGGGGGGGAAAATGGGGGATTTGGAGTAAAAATGTGGGTTTGGGGAGAACAAAAGGGGAGAAAAATGGGGGTTATGGGGGAAAAATGAGGGGTTTGGGGGAAAATAGGGGGGGTTGGGGATAAAAAAAGGGGTTTGGGGATAAAAAAAGGGATTTGGGGATAAAAAAAGGGGTTTGGGGGAAAATAGGGGGGGTTGGGGATAAAAAAAGGGGTTTGGGGATAAAAAAAGGGATTTGGGGATAAAAAAAGGGGTTTGGGGGAAAATAGGGGGGGTTGGGGATAAAAAAAGGGGTTTGGGGATAAAAAAAGGGATTTGGGGATAAAAAAAGGGGTTTGGGGGAAAATAGGGGGGGTTGGGGATAAAAAAAGGGGTTTGGGGATAAAAAAAGGGATTTGGGGATAAAAAAAGGGGTTTGGGGGAAAATAGGGGGGGTTGGGGATAAAAAAAGGGGTTTGGGGATAAAAAAAGGGATTTGGGGATAAAAAAAGGGGTTTGGGGGAAAATAGGGGGGGTTGGGGATAAAAAAAGGGGTTTGGGGATAAAAAAAGGGAGTTTGGGACAATGAGAGGGACAGAAGGGGGGGAAGGATGGACAAGGGGGGCACAGGGGGGACACAGGTGACCCCCAGGTGAGGCACAGAGTGACACGGAACGGGGGTGACACCAACAGGTTTATTGGGACGGAGCTGGGGGACCCCAAAACCGCAGGGACAGTCGGACAGAGCGTCAGTCGGTCAGTGGGTCAGTCGGACAGTACAACGTCACTGTGGTGGTCACTGTGGTGGTCACTGATGGTCACTGTGATGGTCACTGTGATGGTCACTGTGATGGTCACTGTGATGGTCACTGTGATGGTCACTGTGGTGGTCACTGTGATGGTCACTGTGATGGTCACTGCTCCGTGGGGGTGTCCCAGGGTGGTCACTGTGGTCAGGAACTGTCCCCATGGTGGTCACTGTGGTCACTGCTCTGTGGTGGTGTCCCCATGGTGGCCACCACAATGGTCACTGCTCCATGGCGGTGTCCCCACGATGACCACAGTGTTGGTCAGTGCTCCATGGTGGTGTCCCAGGGTGGTCACTGTGGTCACTCACTGCTCCATGGCGGTGTCCCTGTGATGGTCACTGCTCCATGGCGGTGTCCCCACGATGGTCACAGTGATGACCACAGTGATGGTCACTGCTCCACAGCACTGTCCCCACGATGACCACAGTGTTGGTCAGTGCTCCATGGCGGTGTCCCAGGGTGGTCACTGTGGTCACTCACTGCTCCATGGCACTGTCCCCACGATGACCACAGTGTTGGTCACTGCTCCATGGCGGTGTCCCAGGGTGGTCACTGTGGTCACTCACTGCTCCATGGC